CCTCACTCACTTTCATTATAAAAATGATTGAAAAGTGGCCAGAATATTCTTCAAAAAATTGACCGTTTGTGTTTTTGACAGAAGAAAGAGAGTCATACGGGTTTGGAATGACATGAGGAAGAGTAAAAGATGACAGAATTCCCTATTCCTTTAAAGCCGAGTCCAAATTAAGCGTTCAACGCAGGTCGAACACACACTCTCCTCAGATCTTTTGGCTTTGGTTCCCTGTATATGGCTAATAATGTAAGATTAATGAGGTCAGAGTCATCAGCAATGAGCTTTTGAGCTAATCCTTGTCCTACCATTCACTGCTCTGACAAAATTCTCTCCTCTCTCTCTTTTCCTGTCCTCTCATGGGTCTACAGCTGGGAGCAATCATACATTGGTGGCCTCATTTTGCGTGTTTGTGGATTGGGGGGTGTTATTGATGTGTTGGGGGGGTTGGCGGACCAGCGAAAAATGTGCAATTGCAATTTATTGAAGCTTACTTAAAAGGCGGAAATGCGTTTGAACTGGGGAGCGTGTGCCCCCGTTTCTGTTTCCACTACGGTTGATTCCTGGTGTTAGTTATGTGTGGGGGGGGTTGGCGGACCAGCGAAAAATGTGCAATTGCAATTTATTGAAGCTTACTTAAAAGGCGGAAATGCGTTTGAACTGGGGAGCGTGTGCCCCCGTTTCTGTTTCCACTACGGTTGATTCCTTCCCCTGCTTTTCTGTCAGGAGATAAGCTTCAGCAATCAGCAAGCCACCCCAGACTGGATTAAAAGCTCTTTGATAAAGCTGTATTGGGCTTGGCACACACACACACACACACAAAAACACTTTCTTGAATGAATATTGTGGCAGGCGGCAAGTGCGATTGTATGATTGTGTTTTATGGATTGTGTTGCTATAATGAAGCTAAGAGTGAAGTGATTTTGAACCCCACTGATACTCTGTGTGGGTGTTTTTGAGTACAATACGGATAACTGCTTATTATCGCTTCTTAGCATAGGATTAGAGCTCTTTAGATCTCTTGCATAGCCTTAAAGGTTAGAAAAGACACAATAATACACACTTAAAATGTATCACTTTATCTGTGTCTTACATATGCATACTTGCATGATTCTGTACATTTTAAATTTGTAGTAATATCAATATAAGCTTGCACTTCACACTGATGAATTAAACACACATATCCCTTAAGAAAAAGTTACCATAATTACTTACTCATTCACACTCAGTCATTTCTCCTTTTTTAATCCTTACTGACTCACCAGGCTGCAGAGCTGTGAAGTATTGGAGTCCGAGAGGGTTTTAGAGAGTTGTTTACAAGGATCCGATATGTGGAGATTAAGAACAACATGATGCTTGTTCAGTTCTGACTGAAAACCTCTAAAGATCAGTCTGTTTTGTGGATCAATGGCAGCCATGCACTCGATTGAAGCTGCTTATCACATGTGTTTGTATTTACGTGTGAGGAACTGCAGTATACCTGGTAGAATGAGCTTCTAGAGTGATGTGAAACAATGAGAGACATATCTTTTAGTTTTCAAGTGCTTTCGTTTATAGGAATCATTCACCTAAAAATGAACAATTTGTCATCATTTACTCACTTTCTTGTTGTTCCAAGCCCATATGAATTAATTTCTTCTGTGGAACATATGAGGGTGAGTAAATGATAGAATATTGGAAAACTTTAGTTTGCTACGCTTTAGGATGTGTTACCCCAAATGTACAAAATGATTAAACAAACCCATGCAACTTTTTACAGTCAACCCCACAAAACCATGAACCATCATTCAACTCAGATGCTCTTAATTTAAAAAAATGCTCAAATACTTACCTAAAAAAACATGCAAACTTTTTTTTTGAACATCAAAGGCAAGTGTTTACAGCCAAGATATGAAATTGCGATATTGTGCCAGAGGCTTTCTGAAGACTAAAGTGGCCTACAAAAAGGATATCACCAAATTCCAGAAGCCCCTGTCTCCTGTCACAAATAATCACAGCACAGCACAGTGCGGTAACTGTCTCAAGGCGGCTGTTGTGTGTTAAAACAGCTGACTGTATATTTATAAGCTGAAAAGGACTTTCTATCGACAGATATTTTATTTAAAGTAACATAAGAAGGAAATTGTACATGGGGTCAGGGTTTCTGGAAAGGTGCACAGATTTGTGTTTGTATTTGAGTTTGTGTTCATTGTAGGTATTAGAATCTAGTGAGACTGATTCCTTTTTAATAATTCTGATTCCTAATTATTCTATTTATGATTCTTCTAGTACTTTTGAGAGCATAACGAATGTAATGACTTGCGGTTAATTCAGTAAAACAGTTCAGTGAATCAAGAGCCATTAGACTTATTCACAGTAACTTATGAGCAGACTGATTCATGAGTCTTTTTGACCCATTCATTTTAAGAGATTTACAGATTATTTACTTTTTTTTTTTAAATGCAACAAGCTTTAGATTTAGATCTCCAATGCTAGTTTGATGTGCATTGTTGCTACCCATACCATTTTAACTACACATAGCCTAAAGAAAACATAAGTATGTGAGAGCCTTAGAGCATTGCACTCTTGTTTCAAAGGCTTTGAAAATAAATTTAGAGTTTTATGTGATCTTTGGCCCTTTTTATGGATTATGGACCATGGACATAAAAAAAAAGCAATTGGAGAAATGTGATTATGAATCATATGATCCTTTTTTTCAGGCCTTGATTGTAGAGTCAGAGCAGTGCTTTTGATCTATTTTCTGAATATTGAAAAAAAATGTAAATGAGACTAAAGGAAAAGGGCCCAGAGTATGTCTTTCCGCAGATTTGGATGAAATAAGGCTATTTCTAATCTATTGTAGAGATCTAGCCTATGGCCTAGTGCTACAATTGGCAGTTTCAAAAGCAGAGGCAAAAAAAATCTTTGATCATTTTGCACAGCCACACTTTAAGCCGTTCGTCTTTCAGCTTTCTCAGTGGGCACATTCTTATTTCCTTGCTGCGGCATATGTGTGATCTGGCACATTGCATTACACTTCTTCCTCTTCCTCATTCTTGTAAATGCAGTTCTTATCTTCTGCATATAACATTTATCTTTAAGAGGAATCTATGCATGAACAGACAGTGCTACTTATGCATTTGTGTTTTGCAAGTCATATGACATTCTCATATCTTTTCATTGAGTATTTGCAGCAGTTTAAAATGTCAAAATCAGTTTAAAATGCAATAAAAGCATTAAATGTTATTGTACCATGTTTTACCATGATTTTTGACCTGTCCATTGGTAGGTAATACATAGTTTTTTTTTTTGGATATGCTGTACTGTACCATGGTACAGCATGTATCAAAGTGCTATATTAATACACAACCATTCAAAACCACTGGGGTCAGAAAGATTTTTTCAATCTTTTTGGAGGTGTTTTGTGCTCACAAAGGCTATATTTATTTAATAAAAATATAAAAATAGTAATATTGTGAAATAACTGCTTTCTATTTTAATATATTTTAAAATGTAAATGATTCCTGTGATGGCAGTTTTCAGTGTCACATGATCCTTCAGAAAGCATTAAATTATTTCCTTCTCAGTAAACATGACTTATTATCAATATTGAAAACAGAAATGTGTTTTCTTTCAGAGGTAGCCTGAAAAGTGTGTTTGATGTGGTAACATCAAGTCAAATTAACTGCTCAATACAAGTCAAAATATTATTTATTTATTATTTAATAATAACATGTCTGTATCAACTTGACTACATTAGGATACACTAACAAAAGTCATTTTGGTGGTTCCTTAAAATGTGCACTATTAACATCACCAAACAGAAAAAATAATGTCTGATTTCAAACAGGTTGTCCAAACAGCTGTTTACATTTTTGGGGGAATCAACTTGAGAAATACTTAAAGATGTCTCTATATATTAAGATATGCAGGGTTTGTTTTTGGTAAGCTTGTCATAACCCCAAAGGGTGCTGGTTGGCCTATGCTTCTTTGTTTACTGTTTATCCTTATTTGAGGGCAGATTACAGGGCTAATAACGTTCGCCACATGCAGCAGGGAGATATACGTTCCTCATTAGCGGCGATTAGCATTTCACTAATTCTCGCAAGAGGCCACACTTTGATGTTCTCTCCCTAGTCCAAATGCTCTCTGAAGTAATTGCCTTTGCCTCCAAAGCCTCATCCTGCTATCTCTCGGCTTTCAATACTCACAACTCAGTTATTTATTTTTGCATTCCCTGTTCTTCAGCTTGTTGATTGGTTAAGAAGATAGGATAAGGAAGTGAAGGGTTAGCACCGAACACAAGCTTATGGTCCCAAAAGCTGATTAAGTTCAAGCTAGGATGATTTCTGTCTCGACGTCATTATTTTTAACAGTGGTAAGGTATTAAGTGATCAGTTTGCTGTCAGGTGCCGAGTACTGTAAGTGTGGTGTTGGAGACTTGTTGTATGTGTTGGGAGGGAAAGTTCACCCAAAACGTTGTTCCAAACCTGTGTGAGGTTCTTTCTTCTGTTGAGCGCAAAAGAAGATATTTTTAAGAACCAAACAGTTGACGGTAGCCATTGACTTCCATAGTATTTTTTTCCATATTATGTAATTCAATGGCTACCATCAACTATTTGGTTACCAACATTCTTCAAAATATCTTCTTTTCTGCTAAAAAGAAATTCATACAGGTTTGGAATAACTTGAGAGTGAGTAAATGATGATAGAATTTTCATTTTTGGGTGAACTATACATTTAAATCTGCAATACCACCTATAACAGTGAATAAATACTGTATGACTACATTTGTTAGTTTATAAGAAAATGATAGCAGTAAACAGAAATTATGCACTCAGCAAAGGGGAAAAATGTATTGTGCAGGCCTTGTGAATTTCATTTGACAATCTGACAATTATGGGAAGATGATACGTTATGTGGCGAATAAGCCAAACATTTCAGCGGGAAGGGAAGAAATGCAAAAAAGTAAGCAAGCCCACTTATAACAGTATTTAACATTATTATCCCTTTCTCTGCCCTTCTAGGAAAGAACAACACCTTCTCTCTTCAGTAAACTGCTGGTATCTGGTTTTGAACCAGACTCGAAGAGAAAGCAGAGATCATGCCACACTTAATGATATCTACATCAACAATGTCATCGTTCGCCTGGCTCAGATCAGCGAGGATGTCATCCGGCTCTTCAAAAAGGTCTATAGCTTTGACATTCTTCTTTTTCTTCTCACATCCATTTAAATACCATTATAATCTCATGTCCACTTTTAATTAACAGACACCTCTGTGTTCATACTTGCTATTTGATCAGATTATTAAATTCCAAGAGATTTTTTTTCTTACACAAAATTAGATTAAAAATAGGAAATAATGTTCATTGCATTGTGGGATTCGGTATTGTTTTAATTGCATATACATTTGTATACATCCATGTTTCATTTATTTTTACTAGCTTATATCTCGCAGTTCTGTTTTTTGTTTCTGCAACGGAGTAAAAAAAATTCAAAGGTGACTTTTTAACTCATGATTCTGACTTATTTTCTCAAAATTGTAATTTTATATCTCGCAATTCTGAGTTTGTGTCTCACAATTATGACTTCATATCTAGCAATTTTCTCAGAATTGCGAGGAAAAAATGTCTGAATTGTGTAATTAAAAAGTTGCAAATCTTCCATGGGAAGCACTGAACTTTTCCAAATGTGGGAAATCATAACAACCTTTGCTGCTTCAGAATCATTATTTCACACATTCTTTCACACAGCCAAATGATTTTATACATTTGCATGCAATTTCTTGGCAGACATTTTTCTTAGCACACCAACGTCTCCCTTCTTATTTTAGCTGTTCTGTTGGAATTTTAGGCTGAATTTAAATGCTTGCAGACGTGTGTACGGATGGTATGCGACAAAATGAATGTGCATGTTAAAAGGCATGCTGTCTCACAGGGTGACTACAGCCTATTTATGCACATCCTCTCAGAGTTAAAGTCATACTGTGGCGAGAAGTGCCGCTACTGGCTGTATTCTCCGTGGTGTGACTTATGGGGTCTGGACTATATGAGTTGGAACGCTGTCAACACATAGCCTGGATTCCTGTGGTGTAATCCAAACACTACTAGCGTGTTTACACCTGGCTGCTTTTCCTGTAGGTGAGGCCCTGTGCTTCCAGCCGCCATTCATAGGAGAGTGGTTCTGTGAGGTGACTGTGAACCAATAAAACACACCTAGAGCACCATGGGAAGCTGTTAATTGCTTGCAGTGAGTGTACTCAAGGTCACCTAAGATACCCTACTCTGTATGAATGCATGCTTGAGTGCTGCTGTGATGTGACAGGCTTATATTTATAAACAGGTCTGCATATCTTTACAGATTTCCTGATTTGACTCTAATTCACTTTCAGTTCGATGTGATTCAGAATACGGTTCATTTTGATTCAATTTTGATTCATTTTGGCATATTACAGTTAGAATGTCCAAAAAGATTTTTTTTTCAGCTAATGTTCTTAGAAATATAGAGAACCTTCTAATTTGCCATTATGAACGCCATTAATAATTTTTTTTTACAAATATCATCACCAATAATCATACATATTAATAATATGTGGATATAAAATAAAATTGCCTTTCTAGTGTCAAACTTTTATAACTAGTAAAAATTAGGGATGCGCCGATCCGATATTTTTCTCAGATCGGTCAGAGAGGGCCGATCCAAATCCAAGATTTTGTTTATGATAAATTTTTGTCATAGATTATAAATATACATAGGCCTATATTTTTTCATATTTATTGTTTATTTTATTTTTCTTTATAATGAAGTAGTCTGTATCTAGTAGATTGTGAAAGAATGATTATCAGTTCCACACACAGAGATATATAAATTCTACTTTTATTTAAATGAGGGAAAAAAACTTCACTGGTATCGGATCGGTATCGATATCGGCCAATACCGAACCCTAGGTATCGGAATCGGTATCGGAGGCGAAAAAGGCGGATCGGAGCATCCCTAGTAAAAATGATAAACTCATAAACACTTCACTTTAATATGTGACTCTTTTTTAATGATTCAATAAAAGGACTGGCTCAAAAGAGTCATTTCAGTTCAGTTCAGTTAATTTTATTGTCATTCTATACATCTTGACACATGAGAACGAAATATGTACTCAGGTTCATGAGTGTATTCATAAAATTAACATATTATACTACAAACGTACACTAATACAATACTTGTTCATGAATGGAACAACACTTGATGTGTTGTACAGTGTGTTTTTGATTCACTAAAATTAACCGAAGTTGTTCAGAAATGTCATATTTTATAATTATATTTACAACACTGTGGCAATAGAACATACTCACAGTTTATAATATAATTATTAAATTTCAATATGTGATTTTTAAGGATATTTTTGATAACTTTTGGTACTCTTGTACAGTTGGATCACTCCTTGATGTCCAGTGTAAAATATGGGTCCTAAAACCAAAGCAGTTGAGAATCACTAGTCTAGCAACATGAGTCTGCTGTCTGGAATGATAATGAATAGCCTTCCTTACATCCTTAAGCTCTTATTTTAACTTTTTCTTTAATTACATGTGTGACACATTCAATAGTAGTTAGTAAACACTAACAGCAGTTTTGTCCACGTCAGAGGATTCCAGCACACAGTGAGATGAGAAATGTACACCTGAGGTCAGCGAAACCTTTCGCTGGTGGGTCGGATGAGGATGAATGAGCAGCAAAAACTAGGAAACATGTATTGTAGCTTGACAGCATTTTGAATGCTCTTATACTAGTGTTACCAGCAGCAAGAGACTGCAGTGTGTCAGTGGCTTTGACTCTTTCATAATTTTGCATCATGGGTTTCCACTGAGAGCTGTTGCGCTGTGAGTGTGATGTATTCAGTAATACTGATTCTCAATCCCCATGGGCCGTAATAATGCCTGATTTGGCTCAGCAAAAGCATGAATTTGGAGTGGGTTTGTGAGAAGATAAAGAAAAAGGGAACACCTCATTATAAACAAGATATAATGTCCTGTCTTGTTAAGCAATTTTCGCTTGGTAATAATTTCATGTTTTTTCTCTGAACATATGACCCAGGCATTTATTGTTAATTTTTTACATTGTATTTATTTATTTATATATTTGTATTTATGTAATTTTTTTATTTTATTTATGTCTTTAAAAAACAAAATATTTAATAGCAATAATAATAATAATAATCTTTAAAAAAAACACTAATAAATAAACGGTTAAATGTAATCTTACATTAAAAAAAAAATCAAAATAAATATCAGTTTTTTTATACTGTATGATATATTCTTGTGATGCCTCAATTCACTTGTAGCAAATTCTTGATTTTATTTTTATTTTTAATATACTTTAATTTACAAAATAGTAAGCAATTAGAATATTGGACATCTCATTGGGTATCTGCAATAGCATGAAATTGCTTATTTAAATATTTAAATTTAATATGGGAACATTCCTGAATATAAACATTTCTCGTCAAATTCTTTAAAAAAAAAAAAAAAAAAAATCATAGTTTTTTACTAATTCTTAGCTATATTATCCATATTAATTCTGTACTCAAATAAGTCTCCTGCCATTTAATCTCTTTCATCAGATGTTGTGCTATATTGAGTCTATATGTTTCCTAAAAACAAAATCAACACATATACATGAGGTGCTTGAGGCCCGTATGAGGTAAGGTGCTTATCCCATTAGAATGGATGACTAGATGTGTAAATTGGTTGCAGGGATAAGTGCGCGCGGTTTTGTGACAAATGAGGACATAAATTTGTATAATGACAAGGGTATGACATAGGTATTACAAGGAGAAGGTGACTTTTCAGGACATTACCCCATGTCCCCACTTTTCAAAACGCTTATAAATCACACAGAATGGAGTGTATTGAAAATCTGAAATAGCACAAAGTTTCCTGTGAGGGGTAGGTTTAGGGGTAGGGTTGGTGTAGGACAATAGAATATACGGTCTGTACAGTATAAAAACCATTACGCCTATGGGATGTCCCCACTTTTCACAAAAACAAACCTGTGTGTGTGTATGTGTATGTACACATTCATGTGAAGAGAGAGATTATTTTTTATCCCTAAGCACAGGCCTGACTACTCATGCTGTAGCCTCATCATTGCATCAAAATATCACAAAATGTCCTTTGTGCAGGACGGATCATTCCAGTAGCTTGTGGTGTAGTGTTATTTTAGTATTATTTATATACAGTATTTATTAATAATTTTAATTAGCTTTTATTTTTATATTTATATTTTCAACTATCATTTTAATTTAAGTTCCGGCTTTATTAATTTGATTGTGTTTTTGTCTTTTGTCCAATATTTTTGGTTAGGTTTATTTTTATTTCATTTTTAGATTTAGTAATAATTGTACTTATTTCAGTTAGCTGCCAAGGCAGTGTTTCTAATTTTTGTTGAATGTTTTTTTAAGTAAAAAATTTTCAACTAATATTTATATATTTTTTCAGCTCTATTTTAATTCCTGAAATCAATTTTTTGATAGTTTTAGTTTCAGTCAACAATAACAACTTTAGAAAAATCAGTGTTTTACGTGCCATTTGATATCATTTTATGTGTTGTTTTCTTTTTGTACTATGCAAGGTTTTGTCATCGGATTTGTTTTCTTTTTTGAGCCTCCTCAGAGAAATGCACCATTCCTACGCACAGTTTTTGAACAGTTGACAGGAAAGGTGATGCTTGTACCTGTAGACTCTGTGGGCATGGGAGTTTTACCAGACTTTTGTTGCGTCTGAATGTGTCTGTCTGGGCCAGTCTCTGTCTTTTGTGCCTAATGAAAAAAACTTGTGCTTGCAGTGAACAGTTTCCAGCTTCCCTGGAGTTCTTGCCCTCTAATATCTGCCAGATTGTGCCTCTGACTTAAGAGTTAAATGCACTACATTCTCTCAGCTCACACGGCGGCAGGTGTGCATGTAAGCAGGAGTAGCTATGCTGGTGGGAGGAGGTACAGAATGTTTTTCTCCTCTCGTAGAGTTGTCTTCTTTCCCGTTAACTTGTTTATAGCATTATTAAATTATTATTTTCCCACAGGAATGCATAAGCAGTTTTCAGTGTCACAGTCAGAGTATCTGAATTAGCCTGGTTCCTGTCTGAACCACTGTTTACAAAAACGCAGGAAATGATGCTGAAGAGGTTATTTGAAAAGCGTTGTATCAAATGATCGATCGATTGAAAACATGAGCCTTTTTGGCTATTGTGACAATATAGTGTGGTCACCATACAGCAATGAGAAACATGAAGCCTTCAGCCTGATGATGATAGAACATCCAATTAAACATTCAATCAACCAGTACTGAACCCCTAAATATTCACTCATAGTCATCTTTGTCAAACCAAGCTGCTTTTTTAAATTCATTTATTATTTATTTATTTATTTGGTAACACTTTAATATAGGGACCAATTCTCACTATTAACTAGTTGCTTATTAGCATGCATATTACTAGCATATTGGCTGTTTATTAGTACTTATAAAGCACATATTCTGCATGAACATATTCTACATCCTTAATCCTACCCAATACCTAAACTTAACAACTTACTAGGCAGTAATTAGGAGTTTACTGAGGCAAAAGTCGTAGTTAATAGTTAATTAATATTGGACTTTAAAATAAAGTGTGCCATTTATTTATTAAAACCATATCTTGGTTATGTATGTTTGTGATGCTTGGTAGGTTATATAAAAGACATGTGTTCCTCATATTACCAGTCTACAAAAAGGGGAAAACAACATCTTTAACATGACACCATCAAAAAACATGGGGTTGTAAAAATTATTAATGGAACTGAATTTGCAATACTTGTTGTCTGGCAACTAGGAAATGAGTTTTTAATGTTTCTAGATGTTTCTGTACTTTTTTTTGTTGTTTTTGAGTATATTCTAATCTATAATGTATTGTTACTGCAGAGTTTAGAGTTTGACTAATTTGTGACCCATTTTGTGTATTTTTTTTATTTTTGTGTATGTTGCAGAGTAAAGAAATTGGCATTCAGATGCACGAGGAGCTGGTGAAAGTGACAAACGAGCTGTACACTGTGAGTATAATGACTCTCAATCTCTCTCTCTTTATTTTTCCTTCTCTATTTTTCTCGCTCTCCCTCTGAATGGAGCTCTCACCCGCTGTGTCCTGCCATGCACCATGGAAACGCTGACTCTCTTGCCAAAAACAAAAACAATTGGCTGTGCGACAATTTGGAGAAGAAAGAAACTGTTGCTTCACATAGTTTTCTATTAAAGGATGGGAAGCTGAATCAAGGGATTTTTTTCAGGGAATGAAGCAAGTGGTACTATTTGCGATAGTGCTAGTGATGGGAAAATAGTAGATTGATAGAGTCGCCTGGTAGAGCTTCATAGTAGGCACATCTTAAATTACATCCACATTGCATTTTAATTTGCTTCAGAATCTGGGTCATTAGAAGCCAAAATCCTGCTTTAGTTTCTCTTACATCAACCAAGATGCAGCCTCTTTCTTTGGGCCTCTCAGTGTTTCTCCCTGGATGAAATCCAAGCTACCTCTACAGAGGAGCAGGCTGAGATTAATGTTGTCACCCATGACAGGACATCAGAGGGAGATTCTTCTCCATCGCTCGACCTATTCCAGATGTCCCCTTTGCATCTTTATGCAGGTGGCATAGTAAAATATCTCACCCGTATCTCTGGATAAAACTAGCCACAGTATAGCTCATATGATCCTTCTCCTGTTGTGTCATCTCTTGACTACGGTTGTAAATTGCAGTGTCAAAAAAGTCTAAAATGTGGTTGTACCCCACCTACCATATAAAGATCTGAAACAATAAAACATAGTCCTAAGCCATTCTTAAATCCTTACGAGAACAGATATGATACTTATGAATCAGGAATACACTGTTACTTCCTTTAAATTGTTGAAACGCACACATATGCGGTTTGGGATCAGGCGCTCTGACGCTGATGTGTTTCAAGGTCACTGACAGGGAGTGTAATGTATCACTGGAGAAGACATGGGAGAGGATCATTATCCTTCCCCTGCCACCCTTCCTCTTTTTTTCCTCAAATAGAGCCTGTCAGGATACCGAATCCCTGCAGAAAGAGCTAAATTATTACGTTCTGCATCATTGTGGTCACAAAATATTTAGTATGTAATTTCTCTGCTAAGTAGACACAGAAATGTGGGCTTTTGTATTATACTGTTTTATTGGAGTATAGGCTGTGTGCATTGTGCAATGCTATCAGTTTTGATGATATATATGAATGTGCATGTTCATATATACACACACACACACACACATAGTGTAAAATAAGTATTTTGTTCTGCAGTTTTGCCATTTTTAATTCAGCAGTCTTACATTTCATTTATTTTAAACATGAAGCATACATTTTTTATATACAATTTTAAATGTCAGTGTCTGTTCTTTTCCCATGTATTGGTAGGTCGTAGGTTCACCATTAACATAAATTATTCAACAGTCTGAGGATTATGCTAAACAGTGTTATGAATATCACAAATTTTGTCTCACTTTGCAAACTTCTATATAACGTTTGCTTGACAGAGCATAGTGACTTGCTTCTGATCAACTGTTCTTGATATACAGCTTGACAATAAAAATGAAAGAGAGCCTGCACTAGAAGCCTTAAGTATTGATCCCTCTTGATCGCTTCCTGTGGTTTGAGTTATGTGTTCTGAATGTAGAATAAGAAATATAAATGTAAAGCTTCTGACAGTCCCAATGTGCAATGTGAAATTTCTGCATTAGTTTTGCAATGTGTTTGTGAATTAGGATGATCAATGGTTCTTGACTTTCTTTCTTGGGTATTAAAGCAAGGCGCTACAGGCAAAATCACTGTTTTTTTTTTCATGCACTGGTCAATTTTGAGATTTTGTGCTATTTTGCTTCCATAACATATCAGTCGTCTTTCAGACTACACTCTAAAAAATGTTGGGTTAAATATAACCCAGCGCTGGGTTAAAAAGGGACAAACCCAGCTATTGGGTTGTTTTGACCCAGAGGTTGGGTTGCTTTGACCCAGCGGTTGGGTTCAAAACAACCCAACCGCTGGGTTCGTCCCTTTTTAACCCAGCACTGGGTTATATTTAACCCAGCATTTTTTAGTGTGTAGTGGAATGAAAACATCCAAAATACACATTTAAGTGTTTATTGTCTATTTACGTCTGTACATTTCAATTAAAATATATCTTCAAAGCCTGTTTTCTCAAAGTGAGTGAAATCTCCATTTCAGTATAGTACATACAACAAACTTTACAGTTTTTATTCCTATAATAAGGGTTGTACAGAGTGGTTTGTTTATATATCATTCGCCTGATTTATATAGCATTTTGTTCCTGAAAACATGGTGATTTATTTTTCTATCTGTTGACAATATGTTCTGATTTATGGAGTGATAAAAAGAGATATCTAAAATCCCCTCTGTAAAACCTTTAACTCCCCCATGTCAACAAAACAACAAGCAAGAAAAACAAGAATTTTGAACCTGGCTTAATCTAATGTCTAGATTTCTGTTCTAGAAATGTATGCAGATGAGTGCATATCTAATTATACAATGACTCATTTGTGTATTTAAATATAACATTTCAGAAAAATTTTAATACAAAACAGTTGTCTTAATGTACTGTGATTAATCAGCTGGGGAAAGTATGGCGATATCTATGAATTAAAATGTTCACCCAGTACAGTCTTCTATGTGCAAAGTCTATGAAATCTGTCAATCAGATTAAAAACCAAAATTGCATTTATTTCTTTTTAGTTCCATCTGAGAAGCTTGAAAACTTTAAAGTAGTGTTTGCTGTTATTTTTGTAATGGAAAGTTCTGTGGATTTTGCACACAGTTTGTGGAAAGTGAAAGCTCAGCAGCTTTTGCCTGTGAACAGGCCTATAACAAATGAGAGCTGAAGAACATTGAAATTGGTTGTGTATTGTATTTGAGAACAGAAATCCTTTTTCTAAATGATAGCAAAACAGCTCATTATAAATTCCGCAGCTTTAAGGAAATTAGTGTAGTGCCCTTGCACGAATGTACTTGAAGCTCTATTAGGCATGCTTCTATGCATAAGAATTGGGTGTTGACTTTGGGAGCACCTCCCCAAAGACATTGACATGTGACTTAATTTAATGTGAATTAAATTTGCAGACCTGCAGAATTGCAGACCTTCAAAACCAAAGGAATAATAGGATGTTGTTTCTCTTATTCAACCAGTTTGCATCTCGTACCGCTTTTATGGCATGGTAAACAGGAGAGATCATATTATATTTATTGCAGAAATTGAAGTCCTGCCTTTTTTCCTATTCTTTTATGTTCTGAACAAGATTGTCATTCATTGTCATGGTCCTCTGACTCTTCGGGGTCTTGAAGGCATCAGCCTGCATGCAATGCAGAGGATCAGTCTAATATGATGAATGAGTCTGTGCAGCCCATTTTGCCAGTCCTTGTCGATCACAAGGTCTTACAAAAGATAGTCTGTTTTTGGCTGGTTGACAGGTAAATAGTTTAGTTGGAATGCCTAAATTTTTCTGCGGTGTTCAAAAAATTGAAATGGTAGCAGTTAGGGTGTGTACCGCAGTACAGAAGCACACAGACGTGCTCCGGGCAGTTTCTGTGGAAATGGAAGTTGTATATAAATCATTGCAAGTTAGTTTAAGGTTTCTGGCTAATGCTCAAATACTGAGCTAATGCAGCTTAGCAAAGGAAGCGAGACTATCCTTGCACAGCTCTCGGACAAACTTAGGCCACAAAACCTCATTGGTGTTCGATGTGAGAATAAATGTTTTGTGAGTTCTTCAACCTAAGAATTGTGAGAATGTGTTTCATGTGGTAACATGTAAACTGGTGATTTTTAAAAGCAAATATTTTGCTTTAAAACAGATGGTTTAAGCAGTGATTTTTATGTTTGTTTTGTTTTGTGAAATATTTCCTTAAAATAATGTTTTAGTAAAAATAGCAATTTAGTCACAGCTAAAGATTTTACATTTTTATAAAATTTTCTATATACATTTATATATATTATATATACATATAAACTGTTTTAAAATGTTAAATATTACCCTCTCCTTTGTGAATATACTGTACAAGATTTACTGACGCTAGCTGTGACTGTTATTTTATTAAAAATCTGAGTTACAGTTAGTGGCCAGGACCATGCAAAGGAAGGGGGTCAGGGGACAGAGGTAGACCAGGGAATGAGAGCGGAACCGGCAGGGTGGAAAGGATGATGAGTAAATGACTAACAGGTGATCATGATCTGAAATGACTAACAGGTGATCATGATCTGAAATGACTAACAGGTGATCATGATCTGAAATGACTAACAGGTGATCATGATCTGAAATGACTAACAGGTGATCATGATCAGAACAGAAATGACAGGCAAGGGACTATGGGAAATGGAGTTCAAAACATATAACAGAAACGGGAGAGCGCCCTCAAGTGGCCAGTCCAGGGCACCACAACCAGACACTGTGACAGTTTCGGAGTTGCTATAAGCTACTGTTTTCATAAAACACACCATAGATTTTTATAGAAACCATATTTAGTTTGATGTAACCACAAGGAGGAGTATTACATGTGTATTACATGTGATCTTACTACAAAATACCACAGTTAAACTATGGTTATTTTGCAAGCTACATATTTTCATCAGATCTGTACCAGAGCAGAATTTGCCATCCTATTAAAAATCTTTTGCGTGAGACCTTTTTACATTTTATTTAAATATTTTCCCTAATTACAACAACATGTATACCATAAGTACATGTGTTTAAAAAGATCCCACTGCTGTATCTAATGTCAATCTTGCCCAAGTGTTGCTCTTTACAGCTTAGGTCATCTCACCTTAACATGCCTGTAAATACAATTTTGATGCTGGAGGTTTGCCAGCCATGTCCATCAAACATGCTTGTAAACATGTTCCTTTGCTGTGTTCTCTTTGTGGGGCATGAGCTGATGGGTGACAGCTTGGGGAGGAGCTGAGTGCTAACCTAGATTTTCTCCTGCACTGGAGTGCATAGATCCTGTCAAATTTACTCACCCGCTCAGTATTTTTATTGGTAATAATTTCACCCTGCCTGCAGATTTAAGATTGTGTCACTTTGAGTGTTGTACTGTTTAGCCTTCTTTGTGTCATTGAAAATTATAAAATAATGTCATTGAATTCTGATGGATCAGTTCTAAGTTGTATTATTTGGTTATAATGTTACATGCTGATGTGTGTAAGGTTTGTATGTAATATTCCATGCAGCATAGAACAGAATAGGATAGGATAGAATAGGCGGTTGTTTTAATGGTCTCTTCAAGCATGCATACTGCAGATTCTAGCACATTTGCCCTCCATCAACCTTGTAATGGCTGCATCGTTTACACAACTGCATGTGAAATGCCAGAGAACACCATCTAAGAATCGGTTAGCTTGAAGACATTTCAGACTGTGTATGTTTACTAGACCCTGTTAAAAGAGCTGGTGATCTGTCCGGAGCCAGACACAGCTTGCACTTCTCTGAGAAACATCCTTTGCATCCTCTTCCTAATGAGCCTGAGGAAACAGCTTTTTCCATCAGGGAATACTATAGGGACATTGGGCCTGGATCCTGTGTAACGTTTAATGACTGGAACATGTTATATTAGTTCGAAGAACAAAGCTAATGGTGTAAGTGTATTGAATTTAGAGCATTTAACATGGCTTCCTCATGTGTATGTCAATATTTTGAAGTATTTGTGACTAAAATTGTTCATATTTTATGGTGCAGTTGATCTTATTCATAAAGGTATTCATCAAAGAAAACTGAAAGAAGTATTTTTTTTGTTTCCACAAAAAAATATTAAGCAGCAAAACTGTTTTCAACATTGATTTCCGAAGTCTGGAGAAATGCCTGCTGATTTTAAGTTTGCCATCACAGGAATAAATTACATTTTTAAAATATGCTGGAAAAGAAAACGGTTATTTTAAATTGTAATAGCATTTCACAATATTACTGTTTTTACTTTATTTTTGTTTAAATAAATGCAGCCTTGGTGAGCATAAGAAATTTCTTTTAAAAACATTTTTAAAAAATCATACAGACCTCAAGCTTAGAAAATTAGTGTATGTCATATTGATAGAAGGTAACATTTGTATTTTTTTTATATTCAGTTTATTATTCAGAAATAAGAGTGTAGATAATAATATTGTAAATACTTGCTCTGACTTTGATTCTTTAGAGGTTTTTTTTCATGATTTGTCAGATTTTGGTACAATTCACGTTTCATATAACATTTTGATCATTTTTGATGCTCAAATTTAATTTTTAGGTAATACATGTACACATAATTGGATATCATTATAGTTATTTCAGTTATTATTATCAGTTATTAAATTCAGTAAATGGTGCATTGAATTTGCATTTTTTGATTGCTACACCCCTAAAGTAAATCATTCACAATTGTGATCCACAAAAGAAAGAAAGTTTTATGGTTTGAGAATTACATGAGGGTGTAAGTAATGTCAGAATTAAAATTTTGGGTAAACATGTCCTTTTATTGGTTAAAGCCATAGCCATTTATAGGTTAACCTCCACAAAAAGTGTAAACGTGGTGGCTGTGGTGCTTTCAAAGTGTTGTTTGTTTGAGCAGTTTTATATGTTAACTTTCAATGCTGTAAATTTGAGACAGGACTACTTGTTTGTCCAAATAATGGACAATGGGGGAAAACCTGGACACAGACAATTATTTTTTGCTGTTGAATTTTATATTGGAGCAGCACAGACACATTTCTCCTTTAAATCACAGAGGAAGCAGCACTAAAAGCATGCATAGTGCCATCGTGCGGACGCACTTGATGACCTCCTCTGGAATGATCAGATGATCTGTGGGTGTGAAGTTAGAGTGAAATAGCTGAGTGTATGTACATTAATGTCAGGGTCGGTGCAGATGAGCAGTCTGTGGACGCTTGCAGGCTGGCTGATTTAATAAGCGTTTTATTGAAAACACCATCAGACAGGCATCTGCCGGCTATAAGGAGTGGGAAAAAGCTGGGCAATGGTGCAGTGAACCCCCCTCCCCTTTCACTTGCTCTGTTCTATTGTTTGAGCAGAGAGGATAATGGGGCTGAATAGCAGACTAGGTCACACCAATCAGACATGAGGTAAAACAGTTTACATAGTTGCGAACACCTCAGTCATACAGAGAGCTCTGTCATCGGAGTCTGCAAAATGTGCGGTTTTGTTTGAATCAGCTTTGTGTTTCATACACACTTCCTTCAGAATCTCATTGTCCTTAGATCGTCCCCTCCTTCAGCCTCTGTCATCCCGGGCTTGAATGGAAGGCTTGGGCTTGGTGGAAAGAGGCATGATTATGGAAACTTCTGCTGCCAAGTCCATACCCCTATGCATATTCATGAGGTGATCTGCTCTGTAGAGCTGACGGGAATACAACTGATCCTTCTCAACTGAGACCTGCACAGCTTCTCTGGAATAAAACTAGTTTGGAGATCATTTCAAGGAAGTGTCAGGATTGAGTTATTTTGTATCACCAAGGAAAATCATAGATGTCTTCGTTTTGAGTAAATGTGAGAATAACATTTATGAAATGTTTCATTTTGTTGTTTGACATTTAAAGCCTTGGGTTGTTTCTGCAGTACATATTCTCATTTACATTTTTATGAAAGTTCTAGTATAATTCAGGATTTTGTCCCACATAAACTGGAAGTGTACAAGTTTTTTTTCAGTGTTTGTTACTTTCTTCTGTCCCAGTTTAATGCGCAAAGGTAATACTCTCCTCCAAGGCTGCGTTTATGTAATCAAAAATACAGGAAAGACAGTAACATTACAGTTTAAAATAACTGTTTTCTATTTTAATATATTATAAGGTAATTTATTCCTGTGATGGCAAAGCTGAATTTTACTCCAGCCTTTAAGATTCTTTGAATAATAAAAAGTATATTTACATTTTTATGTAACATTATAAATGTCTTTACTGTCACTTTTTTATCAATTTAGTGCATCCTTGCTGAATAAAAGTTTTAAACAGTGGTGTATTTTTTTTCTGAAAGTATTCCCCTGCACCATAGATCTAAAATATAATTTGTGCTTTCAGTATTCCAACACACTCTAAAAAATGCTGGGTTGGTTCAACCCAACTTTGGGTCAAATATGGACTAACCCAACTTTTGGGTTAAAAATTTAATGTACAAATTTAACCCAACGGTTGAGTTAGTCCATATTTGATCCAAAGTTGGGTTGAACCAACCCAGCACTTTTTAGAGTGCAGTTTTGATGTCACTGATGCCAAACGCCATTGGTGTAATTATGTGAAAATGTCAATGAAATTTGGCAGGATAATGGAAGATTATTAGCTTGTTCAAAAATGTTTTTAAAACATCGCTGACAGGATTTTAAATGGCATTTTTCTGAAGCAGGATTTCAGACCAATGAGATTTTGGAGTGGGCGGGGCAACCAAGTGAAACAGCAGAAATGAAAATCAAACTATCTGCGAATATCATTTGTTTTCACAGTTAGTTAGGACAAAAACTCACATGACAGAGATTTTCTCATTACCCATCTGGTTAGGATATAGTGTGATGCTGTTAAACTAGTCTTTATAGTATTTTATATCATCCTACAGGTGATGAAGACGTATCACATGTATCACACGGAGAGCATCAGTGCAGAAAGCAAGCTGAAGGAGGCCGAGAAACAAGAGGAGAAACAGTTTAGCAAATCTGGAGACCTCAACGTCAATCTCCTGCGCCATGAGGACCGACCCCAGCGCCGCAGCTTGGTCAGGAAGATTGAGAAGATGAAGGAGAAGGTGAGATTACTCTGGTGAGCTTGCGGCAGAGCTCATAATGCTCAGTAGAGTGACTCATAATGCCTCCCTGCTTTTATTAAACCAAAGGGCCATTGCAGCCTAGAATCACATTCATTTCTTCTCCCGACACTCTCAAGCAGGATTGTGACCCTTTAAGAGAAAGATTATGTTATTTCAAGTGGTGTATATTATCTCTGCACAATGGAGAATAAAGCTAGCCCTTTGTCACTCCTTGACTTCCTTCAAAAACCACTGTGGAAGGAAGTGAAAGCCCACATTGCATCATCATGACCAATGTCTTTTTATCCAAAGCTACTTTCAGTACTCTTATTAGACAATCCCCCTGGAGGAACCTTGAGTTAAGTGCCCTTGTTCTTGGTTAAGTGCTCAAAAGCACAATGGTGACACCTCTTTGCGAGGATCAAACCAGAAACTTCCGAATGCAATCCCTGAGCTTCGATTGGCAGTAAATGCTGTTCCACACAAACTCTTCTCTTCAAGTGCTCCAAGTTTGGGTCACTTATAATGTTCCCAAACTTGTAATGAGAAGTGCTTATAAATCCTCTTTTCTTCAAGTCTTTTTTTCAACAAATGAGAAGCTTTAATGATTTCCTGCATTTTTCCTTTGAAATAAAAGCTTCATTTAAGACATTTAATTAATTTAATAATAATTTTTTTCTTATATAATTAATTTTTTACAGTGAAATATTACAAAAGTAATACGTTTAATAATTAATATGTTAAACGTATTACTTATATAAACGTATTAACATGTTAAATGTATTACTAATATAAAAATTTATGTTTAATATTTGTATTATTATTATTATTATTATTATATTTTAATACTCTATTTTAAAGTGAAATATTTCAATGGCAATATTTTGTTTAATATTTTTATTTATTTATAATAAAAGTTATATTTATAATAAAATTTTATATAACAGTAATAATAATAATTGTATTAGATTAATATTATTAATATTAATATTATTGTATTAGATGTAATAATTGTAATAGATTTTGTTACAGTAAAATATTACAAGACTAATATTTCTAATTCTTCCGTTTTTATTTAATAATAATAATAATAATAACAATTATTATTATTATTATTATAGTCATATTGATATAATCACTATACATTTTTTGAAATCACATTTGAAATCATGATCACAGTTTTTATTAGGTAAAATCCCAATTATATTTTTTCCCCAAATTGTGTAGCCCTATCATGATAGCATTTTTTTTCTTTATTTCCCGTACACCTAGTAACAAACCCTGACTTCTTCCTAGTTACCTTCTCATCGGCTCTTAAAAGCAGTGCAGGCACTAAGGTTTGAATAAGCCTGATGGATGGGTTTATAAAAATGAATGTGGGCTGAGCTTTATCTAAGAATGGACAATGAGGTCAGTGAGACTGTAGACAGCCTGGAGACTGAATGGCTGACTACTCACACAAACCAGATTCAACATTTCAGGTCAGTGACTTCAGCTGTAAATCATCTAATTCATGCTAATTCATAGTTGGTTCTATGAACTTACAGGAAGCTAACTCATAGTGACTATAGCACCATAAAAAATGTATAAATGAACATTTACGAATATTGTGCTTTTCACATGAGGCAGTTTTCATGTGAATGAATTCGGTTTCCTTTACTAGCCAGCGTGCGCGCTCTCTCACTTTTGCTCTTTGTGTCGCTTTCTTTCTCTCTCGGCTTTTCTCTCTCTCCCTCCCTTCCTCCCCTTTTCAGGCTGCAATGCGTAGAGATGTTGGCATGAACGCCACTCAGCCTCACACTATTTATAACCATGGATGCTCTGTGTTTCTCTCTGCAGCCTGACCTGATTCTGCAGGCTAGCAAACTCCAGCGTGATCTTAGCACACCTGCAAGCCTCAGTGGCCTTAAAGGACTATCAATTACTAGTTTGATTATGTGGAAATACATTTTGAATTTCCAGTTATATTCCAATTGTAGACTGAAATAACTGACAATTATGATTTTTGTCAGAATTGTGCAGCCCTAATTTTTAGATTGAATGTGTATATTACAATAGAAAAAAAAAACAGATACTGCATAATTTATTCAGGTTATATGCTGGTAATCTTTAAACTTAAAACCGATTGCTATAATACAAACCCAGCTAATCATTTTGATTAAAAGGCCTCATTTGAACTCCGGAATGATTTGTGCTGCTTTGTAAGTAGTAATTCACCGATTAAAGAAAGTCCACCCAAAAATGAAAATTTTGTTATCATGTACTCACCATAATGGCTATTTCAAACCTGAATGACTTTCTTTCTTCTGTGGATCATAATGGAAGTTATTTTGAAGTATGTTGGTAACCAAACCATTTCGGTTCCCATTGACTTACATTGTATGGACAAAAAATACAATGCAAATCAATGGGAGCTGAGACTATTTGGTTACCAACATGCTTAAGTTTAAATAATGGTCAGCTTACAGTATATATTGTTCCCGTCATACTTGCTTTTCATTACAGTGATTGTTTATTCACTATCGAACTCAACTCATTTGATCAGTATTCAATTGTTAAATTCAATTGAACTTACATGTACTAATCACTGGTGTTTGTTCTTCATTTAAAGGTGACATATTATGCCCATTTTTACAATATGTAATATAATGGCGCTTTTCCACTGCACGGTACGGCTCGGTACGGTTCACTTTTTGGGGGTTTTCCACTGGGTACAGTACTTGGTACCTGGTACTTTTTTTAGTACCACCTTTTAGTGTAGTGTGAGTTATGATCTCCGTACGCTCCAAAATATATAATATGTTATGTCTTTGAATAAACTATGTAATAGTAATTTAGTATATAGTGGAGACTGAGGCTAGTTTCCTCAAGGGACAGTTGTCACAAGGCTTATCTCAGTAACTGTATCTCTGTAAGATTTTGTGTAGCTCAATCAGTAGAGCATGGTGCTAGCAGCCCCAAGGTCATGGGTTTGATTCCCAGGTAGAGCAAGACTGATAAAATGGATGCTATGCAAGTCACTTTGGATAAATGTGTCTTCTAAATACTAAATGTAAAATAAAAATAAAAAGTAATCAGTCTTCTAGTCATCAGAATTCTATCCTCCAAATTAAAATAAAAGCATGGAAAATGTATCATACTTTTATAATAGCCCCTGTAAGTTACCTTTGTGAAGGTAAATTGAACCCAAAAATTTGCCCTGTGTTCTCAGGACAAGCATATTTTTTTGTAAATATCAGGTTGGGGCAAGTTGTCACATTTGTGTTGGGGTAAGTAACGTGTTTTATGTTTCAAAATATTTCATGTCATTTATTACAATTTCGGTAGGCTATAATAATGGTTTGATATTGTTGTATATCGACTTTTAAAATGTTTTTTCTTGTGTCATGAATTGTTAAAAGCTGAAAACACTTAAGTCTTTAATGAATTTTAAATATACATATGCCATTCCTCTTAAATCAATGTCAAGTTGATATAGTGAGAACTTACTCCATATAGGATTATCAATTACTAGTTTGATCATGTGGAAATACATTTTTGAATTTCCAGTTATATTCCAATTGTAGATTGGAATATTAAATCAGTTAATATTTATTATATTAACTGATTTCTTCTCCATTTTGTTTCCCTTTTCCAGAGGCAAGCCAAGTACTCCGAGAACAAACTGAAATGCACTAAAGCCCGCAACGACTATTTATTGAACCTGACAGCCACCAACGCCGTTGCAGATGAGACTCAGTCTCTGTGTCTTTTTCAATTCACACTGAACTTATATGATGTATATTATTATTAATGCTCTCCGAATTTACATTTTTTAAATGATCAATTTATTGTTCTGTGGAATTTACATACTTTTAGCAACGACTATTTATTGAACCTGGCAGCCACCAACGCCGTCGTGGCGAAATATTACATCCACGATGTTTCGGATATGATTGATGTGAGTATGCACAATGAGGCATGCGTTTGTTTGTGTGTATCAGCTGGGATTTAAACAGTTGAACTGATGAGGGCTCGGCTCCATCTGTTTCTCTTTGCATTGTGGGTGAAGTGTCTCCTTGTTAATATGGCTTGCCTGATTTCTTTTCTCTAAATGTTTGCTTTGCATTTGCTAGAATGTCATTTTTAGTGAATTGGATATGTGTTCTGATTTTATTCCCCTCTCCCTCTGGTATTTGTGTTTTTATTGAATTATTAATCACCATTACTGTAACCTTCTAATCTGTTTTGCAGCTTCATTCGGCTTCACAAAAGAAGATTAAAACTGTTATTCTGCCAAACCAGAATGATTTTTGTCAGATCTATAACAAGAAAATGGAATTACTAGCTTAATTGCGCATAAAACCTTTTAATGCATTTAATTGACCAAATATTGTTGCATATACAGCAACAGGCTGTCGGTCGCACTGGTATCATCCTATCAAAAATCTGCTGAGACTGATGTGACATATACTGAAATATTTCCCCCGCTGGCTCGTCTCTGCTGTCTCTGTTGTGTTAGCATTTGTACACACACTGTAGATAAACCGAACCTCTGTGATTTTTGCTGAGAGATGCAAAGAGTGTCACATTGCTGTCCATCAGTATGCCCTGATATCCTGAAGCAATTTAAGAAAACATAAAACCACACACACACACTGGTACTTCTGATAACAGCAAAAAAGCAAAGAGGAAACATAAGCTATTATAGATAACTTTTAAGCCAAGGTTTATTGCTCTATGCAAACTACTGCAGTCACATGCTGTTTGTAAATCTTTGTAGTAACCATTTTGTTAAGAAAAATTAGCAGACAATAAACCTTTAGGCTTTTTTTATACTGTTATTATACTGTTCTATACTGTTTATTTTATATAGAAACAGATGTAAATCCCTAAGACAGTTAATAGGTTAAAGTTGGAAGAACTCTGTAAAGGACTCTCAGTTAGGTTGTTGACATAGATTTACCTATAAACCACTAATTGGTAGAAACCACCAAGCCAAAACTCACTAAAAACTCCCACACCCACCATTGGGTATATAGAAATTCATGTGGTACTTGTGGCCTGCCGTGGTGAATTACAGTAAGATGCCAAGTTACCTTGTACCAGAAATTACGGTTTGCTAGCTGTTCCAAAAAATTAGAAGTGCCACAACCCATGGTACTGGTGCTTCAAAGAAACCAGGAGGGCTTTACATTTACTCTATTTAAAGGGATAGTTCACCCCAAATGAGTTCTGTTATGATTTATCATCACTTACCCTGTCATCATTTTGTTTCTTTGGTGAACACAGAGAATAACATTCTCATTGGTCATTGGGTCCAAAACTACATTAAAGGCAGGGTATGTGATTTTTCAAAAACACTTTAGAAAACTGATTCGGGCCGAATCGCAAAACAAACTTGTAGCCAATCAGCAATAAGGGGCGTGTCTACTCGTGATGTGGAGGAGAGCGCGTTCAGTGCATGGGACGGACATTAGCCGAGCCGAGCGACAGAAAGATAGAGATGGCGGATAAAAAAACAAAAGAGGAAAACGTCTGCGGAACAATAAGGCAAGAAGTAGGACCCGTGTAAATATCGGATCAGCTTTCCAGCGCTGGAGAGAACTCAAGGAGCGGAGGCCTGCGATCGGACGCAGAGGTTGCTTTGTTTCTTCTCAATAGGTGAGTAACACCGTGTCTACAACAACTAAAGTCTGCCTACACTGGACGCGATAAAACGACCGTTGAAAACCATTTGAAATGTGTCAGCACGTCATAAATAGAACCCGGCAGCAGTTTTCTGTCGGGGATTTGTTGCGCCGCACCGCTCACGTCCGATGTAGACACGGTGTAACATTGGGTAGACATGGTGTAACATTGGTTTTGCTTTGTTTCACAGAACTAATTGTTGCCTGGGTTGCGTACGTATATGTGGGGCGGAGCTATCAAAATAGGGGCAAGACCCTTTTGGGGTAGGGGCGTGTTTGTTTTGGTGATTTCAAATATCAACATTGGCTACCAGAAATCACTTACTCTGCCTTTAAACCCCACTGACTTTCATTGGACCAAAAAAAAAGTCGCCTTTTGTGTACAACAGAAGTAAGAAATTGTATGTATTTATTTGTTTGTTTATTGCTTACATTTGTTTGGTTCTGTGTTTTTGTTTGGTATGGTTTTGTTTTGTTTTTTGTTTTATTTTGTTTTGTTTTTTGCTTTTGAACATCCCTTTTTTGTCATTTCCAAATCTACAACCCAATCAGTGAAAAATAATTCTCTAAGATAGACACAGAAAAATGCATCTCCAGACATACAAAGGTAAACCTTTTACATTTAAGAGTGCATGGTCAGAAGTAGGGCGGGTCTGTCATGTTTTTGTTTTTTTTAGTTTTCAGAGAGACTGACAGTGAACTGAAGGTAAACAGGTTTATTCAAACAATTCGGTCATGGCAACCCTTGCTAACCCCAATACACAGTAGAAGTTAAGCAGTGGTTTTCTGTTTTAGATTGAAATATGTTTGTCTTAGGGCAAATACTGGTTTCAGTATTACCGACGAACACAGTAAATAATTTCAAATAGTATGGATTTACTTCTAATGATCTACGATTATTAGGAAATGCAGAGAATGTGAACCAGTGCTGTTATTGGGCCAAGAATGTGTAAATACAGAATCTAAACTTGGTGATATTACTGTGCTACATTTTCACCAACGTACACCTCCTCTCCGGTGGCTTTGTAATGCTAAATAGATTGTGCCACAGGCTATGGCTGTCTAGTGTTTGCACTCAAACCATTTAAAGCATAATATATGGATTTACAGTCCAATAGAGCGATAACTGCCTAATCACAATGACTCATAGAGGTTTAAAGTTTCCCTGAAGCTAATTTAAACTTGCTCCACATTGCTAAAAGAGGTTAGTCGCACATTTGTTGCACATTTAAACTAATTAGCTAGGATATCCCACTGCGCCTGTTCTTCTAATTATAGATACTGACGGTCTCGATTCTCTGCAGGAGGAAATTCACTCATTTAGATCATGTCATTTTAATGACACTACGATCCATGGAGATACAGGAGATGCTACCTGACTTGCAGTTCGTCCTGTTAGAGTGAAATGTGAAATCTCATGACTGCTAAAAATAGGCATCACCATGGAAACATTTTGGCAAATAAAATTTCATTTATACTGTCTTTGCAGGAAGAAAGATTGGATTGTTGTTCATCTAAATGTCATTCAGGCTTGCTGTGAAATATTTTATCTCTCATCCTTCATTTTTCTTCTTTCCACAGTGCTGTGACCTCGGATATCATGCTAGCTTGGCGCGCACATTAAGGACGTATCTGTCTGCTGAGTATAACCTGGAGACCTCTCGCCATGAGGGTCTGGACATCATTGAAAACGCTGTGGACAACCTGGACCCTCGCAGTGACAAGCACAAAATCATGGACATGTACAATCAGGTCTTCTGCCCGCCCATGCGCTTTGAGTTTCTGCCGCACATGGGAGATGAGGTATCAAGCCTTCAACTTACCTAATAATATCTTATTAATGGAACAGTTCACACAAAAATGAAATCCTGTTATTATTTACTCACCCTCAAGTCCCTCCAAACTGTATGACTTTCTCATGTGGAACACAAAAGTTTCAATATAATGAAATATAATCCAAAAATACCGTAAAAGTTCAATTGAAGTGGTCTATATAACTTATATTGCAAGTTATACATTAGCTTTGTGTAAAAAAAAACAAATTTACATAATTATTGGGTTTGGAAAGACATGAGGGGAAGCAATGACAGAATATAAATTTTTCACTGAACTGTCCTTTCAAGAATAATAATATACTAAATGTTTATTGAAAATCTAAGAGATGTCAAGATATAAAAAAACAAAAAAACATGACCAGCGTTGGGGGTAACGCATTGCAAGTAAAGTGAGTTATGTAATCAGATTACTTTTTTCGAAGTAACTAGTAAAGTAATGCATTACTTTGACATTTACAAGAAAATATCTGAGTTACTTTTTCATATAAATAACGCAAGTTACTTTGTATTCCCATTTATTCAGTGACATCTCTCTTGCCCCTGTGTTAAGAAAAAAATGGGAGTGAGGTGCAGAGGCACTTCCTTCAGGCTGAGGCTTATTCATTTCCCTTTTGGTGTGAAAGTGTCACGGCGCGTTTAGGAAAAACACCGTGTAAACAGGGGTCTGGGTCCAAGCCGCCTCGGGGGAACTGAGAGCGGACACCGCCGCCTCGGGGGAACTGCGAGCGGACACCGCCGCCTCTGGAGCCTCGTGAGCGGGCACCGCCGCTTGCATCAGTCCCGTGACAACACTTAATACAGCTCATAGTACAACTAGTAACACAACTACTAACAATTAATAATCCGCCCAGAGAGGCATGGGGAAGGCGTATAAATAGCCCTCAGGATGGGCAACAGCTGTGTGTGAGTGAGTGTGTGCACAGGTGTGTGGAGTCAAGGTAACGGAGTCCGGGAGGATGGGAAGTGGCGACCTCTGGTGGTGAGAGGGAGAACACCAGATGCCAGACCCTGACAGGACCCCTCCTCTAAGGAACGGCTTCCAGACGTTCCAGACGCCCACCCAGGGGAACGGCAGAGCGGGGATGGCGTAGGGGGAGGGATGGGGGGCCCAGGTCCGTGTGGTAGCGGGGGACCTGGGGACTGGGGCAGAGCCGGTGGAAGGAGCCTTGTGGGCGGACCCCGCCGCTTCCGGAGCCTTGTGGGCGGGCACCGCCGCTTCGAGAACATCATGAGCGGGTACCGCCGCTTCGAGAACATAATAAGCGGACACCACCGCTTCGCGGGAACTGAGAGCGGCCACCACCGCCTCGGGGGAACTGAGAGCGGCCACCGCAGCCTCGGGGGAACTGAGAGCGGATACCGCGCCGCTTCGAGAACATCGTGAGCGGGCTCCGCCGCCTCGGGAGGCTCGTGAGCGGGCACCGCCGCCTCAGGAGGACTGAGAGCGATCGCCGCCGCCTCGGGGGAACTGAGAGCGGACGCCGCCGCCTTGGGGGAACTGAGAGCGGGCACCGCCGCTTCTGGAGCCTTAATACAACTCGTAGTACAACTAGTAACACAACTACTAACAATTAATAATCCGCCCAGAGAGGCGTAGGGAAGGCGTATAAATAGCCCTCAGGATGGGCAACAGCTGTGTGCGAGTGAGTGTGTGCACAGGTGTGTGGAGTCAATGTAACGGAGTCCGGGAGGATGGGAAGTGGCGACCTCTGGTGGTGAGAGGGAGAACACCAGATGCCAGACCCTGACAGAAAGGGCCTTTACAGTTGCCAAGAATATAACTTTTGGGTTTTTTGTTATTAAAAATAAATAAGCAAATCCAGCTCAGGTTACAAAAAGTAACAAAAGTAACGTAATGCATTAGTTTCCATAAGCATATGGAAAGGAACTAAGTAATGCAATTAGTTACTTTTTTATGGAGTAACACAATATGGTATTTACTTTTAAAAGTAACTTTCCCCAACACTGATTATGACAGAGATAAACTTGTTTTGTTTTTGTGCATCTCAGGTGTGCCAGGTGAGCGCTCAGCAGCCCGTCCAGACTGAACTTCTGATGCGTTACCACCAGCTGCAGTCCCGCTTGGCCACGCTCAAGATTGAGAATGAGGAGGTAAGAATGATCACAGTTACTACATGCAACATTTTATCATGGGCGTTATCATGGTATCCACCTCTCAGTAATAATTATTTAGTCTTAGCCTCAGACGCCACATCCAAAGACCATTCACTGACTTTGATTCATATTGCACACTAAAATAATCGCTAGCTTCAATCTGATTGACTGGTTTTATCCTATTTCCAAAAAGTCAGAGTGCGCAGGTCTTTATCAGTGTGCTGAGAAACAAAGTTACGGTAAGGTAACTTTACCGATATGGCACCAGGCAGCCACACTGAACACTTCAATGGAAGATCTAGTTGTTTGATTCACAGTTTTTGTGGTTCAATATTCAGAGCTTGTTAGAGCACAGCTGTATAATCCACTTTGTTCTCAAAGTTATGGCTGATTTCAGATTTAAACCAAACATACAAAAGAACTAGTTGGTTGATTTACAGTGTCAATCAGATGACCCTGTCTAAGTGGGCAGCTCTTTGCTAGAACAAACTACAAAGTGGACCCATAAGGTGAACCGGTAAGATAAAACTAATGAAATTCTAACCCTATTTATTTTCTAAAATCGTCTTGATTCATCGGTTCTCCACGGCTCGGCTAGGCCACCCCAGAAACAGACCAGTGAGCAGGTCCTCTCCGTCGCCGACTGGCGAGCCACTCCCACGAAGTCCCTGGCGTAATCCTCAATGCACCGGTCTCCCTGGCGGACATTGAGGAACCTTCCTGCTGGACCCATGCTTGGCGGATTATTCTGTCACGGCGCGGTAAGGGAACACACCGTGTAAACAGGGGTCTGGGTCCAAATGCAGGTTTTTATTAACTGCAGGGAAAAACAAAGTAAACACCAAAACAGAAACACAAACAGAGCTTAGAATCTGACCACAGGCTCAGAACAGAAAACGGAATCTGACACAATACGGCCACTTAGAGCTTGCATCAGTCACGTAACAACAATTAATAATCCGCCCAGAGAGGCGTAGGGAAGGCGTATAAATAGCCCTCAGGATGGGCAACAGCTGTGTGCGAGTGAGTGTGTGCACAGGTGTGTGGAGTCAATGTAACGGAGTCCGGGAGGATGGGAAGTGGCGACCTCTGGTGGTGAGAGGGAGAACACCAGACGCCAGACCCTGACAGAAAGGGCCTTTACAGTTGCCAAGAATATAACTTTTGGGTTTTTTGTTATTAAAAATAAATAAGCAAATCCAGCTCAGGTTACAAAAAGTAACAAAAGTAACGTAATGCATTAGTTTCCATAAGCATATGGAAAGGAACTAAGTAATGCAATTAGTTACTTTTTTATGGAGTAACACAATATGGTATTTACTTTTAAAAGTAACTTTCCCCAACACTGATTATGACAGAGATAAACTTGTTTTGTTTTTGTGCATCTCAGGTGTGCCAGGTGAGCGCTCAGCAGCCCGTCCAGACTGAACTTCTGATGCGTTACCACCAGCTGCAGTCCCGCTTGGCCACGCTCAAGATTGAGAATGAGGAGGTAAGAATGATCACAGTTACTACATGCAACATTTTATCATGGGCGTTATCATGGTATCCACCTCTCAGTAATAATTATTTAGTCTTAGCCTCAGACGCCACATCCAAAGACCATTCACTGACTTTGATTCATATTGCACACTAAAATAATCGCTAGCTTCAATCTGATTGACTGGTTTTATCCTATTTCCAAAAAGTCAGAGTGCGCAGGTCTTTATCAGTGTGCTGAGAAACAAAGTTACGGTAAGGTAACTTTACCGATATGGCACCAGGCAGCCACACTGAACACTTCAATGGAAGATCTAGTTGTTTGATTCACAGTTTTTGTGGTTCAATATTCAGAGCTTGTTAGAGCACAGCTGTATAATCCACTTTGTTCTCAAAGTTATGGCTGATTTCAGATTTAAACCAAACATACAAAAGAACTAGTTGGTTGATTTACAGTGTCAATCAGATGACCCTGTCTAAGTGGGCAGCTCTTTGCTAGAACAAACTACAAAGTGGACCCATAAGGTGAACCGGTAAGATAAAACTAATGAAATTCTAACCCTATTTATTTTCTAAAATCGTCTTGATTCATCGGTTCATGTCACATTAATCAAATTTTGGTGAAATTTTGTGGGCTTTCTGATGGTCAGTGCAGCAAATTTGTGTGACCAACCTGAAACTGTTGCGAAATCTGTGTGGGGAAATCCTTCTCACACATGAAATTCCTGATTGCATGGATTCCTATTGTAATGACTGGAATTTGCTCGTGAATATTTGTGTAACAATGGTAAAGGTGATTTCACCTTTATTCTGAAGATAAAAAATAAGGCTTTTCACACTTGAAATAGTTAACCCTGGGTCATTTAGCATATTTGCATTTCTCTACCCAGGGTTAAAAGCAGGGTTTAGAACAATGATAACCCAGGGTTAAGTGCAGTGTGAAATGTCCGGATGTGTGTCTTCTTTAATCTTTGAAGGAAACAAAATTCCTTTTGGGCTGATGTCATCAAGCCTTCTTATATTTTTCAGTCCCTCTGGTTCAAGAAACTGACATCATATTATAGAAGTAAAATAGGTTGTGAATTCTGTTTCCTGTTGACTTTAACATCAGATCTGTATGCTATACAGATCCCGCTGTTGCAACCACATGCTTTGCAAACTGTTCAGTTTTATTACACCTGCTCAGTGTAAAGATTCCTCAGCTTCTTTAGTGTGAGTCATCACTCTGCAGAGAGCCCAACTGCCTCTCTCACATGAGTCTTTAGCACTCAAAGAGCCCTCGGCTTTACTCACATATTTTTTTGAACCATTTTTAAAGCACTCCAGAGAATATACTTGAGCCTAGCACTCAAACTCATTGCAATCTTTCCTGGAAATTGAGAGTGTATTATTAGCATTCTCATCTGTTAATGGTGCGTTTCTTTTTGAATGGAACGGTTATCTCCATGTTTGGTCTTCGGTGGGGGTAATTCTTTGTATTGGGAGAGCCAAACACAACTCAACCGCATTACCAACCAACTAAGTGTATGCAGGTGCTAATGGACTTTGTAATAGCTCCCGTCTGTGTGTATTGATGATTTCATCTTGCCCTTATCACTTTGTGTCTCATAACCAGCTTGTAACTGATGATTTTATGTCATATAGGAAATGCGCCACATTAATCTGTGAGGGCCTGGGGCCAATTTACACACCATTCACTACAGCATTCAGACGATCCTTGATTTCATACATTGGTGTGAGTGATCTTTGGTCCCCGAGTCAAATGTATAGAGGTTTAGGAATTTTCAGAGCTGCATACAGCACTACAGTATATATACAAATGTCACTTGTGGTTTGGCTGCATTGGTTGTCTTCAAAATAGGTTCAGATCTTTGCTTCATTGCTCAGTTTTGAGGTTTTAATAACTCTACCTGCATAAGCATTCAAGTAAGCAGCAACACATTTAAGAATGTGGGCGTATATGAGTCATAGTGACACATAGATGCAAGTGCAGACAAAGTTAAAGCTCATTTTACACTTTTTTTTTCTTCCAGTGATGTTTTCTGAACTAGTGTACTACACAAATACTTTTATTTGAAAGTTTAATCAATTTTTTTTTGAGTCTCTCAATATTCTTAAGCTCGTATTGTGGGTTTGAATATATCACAGAGGCATGTACCTGTTATTGCAAACAATAAGCACTTTTTTTGACTACAGTGTGCACTGAAATTTGTATTTTGAAAGTATTATAAAAGTGCCCACAATATATTCCAGGGTTTAACAATAAAGATTTTTTGATTATGTCGGGCAAGTATTTCTTTTTTTCCTTTCCCTGCTAACATTATATGACAACAATATGAGACATATCAATTTTGCCAACACTTTTGTGTGTGTGTGTTAGAAAATAGATATGTTTTATATTATAACAATATTGTATATATTTTTGAATATATACAACAGAAATATGTAATATAATTATGAAAGCTAGTTTCCACCTCAGGAAAAAAATAGTGAGTTGCATCTCACAATGTGGCTTTATATCTCACAATGTGACTTCCTTTCTTATTTTAAACTGTCATAATTCCCTTTTAATTTTTTAGATGTCCATGTATTACTCCATGACTGCTACAAATTCATGAATACACTTTTGCTGGATGGCATATAGTGTGAATCATTACTGATTTGGGTGTAATTTTAAACTTATACTAACTGATGCTTTAAGTAATTCTCACAATTTCTACAAATCCCCATATCTTTTTAAGTTGCGTTACTGTCAGATATCCAGAAATATACACTACTATTGAAAAGTTTTGGGTCGGTAAGACTTGTTTTTGAAAGAAGTCTTTTATGCTCACCATCAAAAACAGTAAAAACGGCAATACTGTGAAATAATATTACAATTTAAAATAACTTTTATATTTTCATATATTTTAAAATGTAATTCAATTATGTAATGAAAAAGCTGGATTTTTAGCAGCCATTACTCTAGTCTTCAGTGTCACATGATCATTCCAAAATCATTCTAATATGCTGATTTGGTGCTCAAGTAGCATTTCTTTTTAGTATCAATGTTGACAACTGCTATGCTGCTTAAAATGGTTGTGGAAACCAAGATACTTCTTTTCAGAATTCTTAAAAAAAATTGACATTTCAAAAGGACATTCATTCTTTACTGTCACTTTTGATCAATTTAATGTATCCTTGCTGAATAAAAGTATGAATTTCTTTAATTTCTTTAAATCTTACAGACCCCAAACTTTGAACGGTACACTCTAAAAAATGCTGGGTTATTTCAACCCAACTTTGGGTCAAATATGGACTAACCCAACCGTTGGGTTAAATTTTTACATTAAAATTTTAACCCAAAATTTGGGTTAGTTGGGTTTATGCATTTTTTAGAGTGTAGTGTAAATCTTACATAACTTATATTCCCTAAGTTCATACTCATCTCTCTTTCACCTTACTGAGTCCCTGCTATGTTTAATTAGGTGCGCAAGACCCTGGATGCCACCATGCAGACCTTACAAGACATGCTGACAGTGGAGGACTTTGATGTATCAGATGCCTTCCAGCACAGCCGATCCACGGAGTCCATCAAATCCGTGGCTTCCGAGAGTTACATGAGCAAGTTAAACATTGCTAAGAGACGAGCCAATCAACAGGAGACAGAAGTCTTCTACTTCACTGTGAGTTGTCTTATTTTCTCAGGCCATAAGCACTGGGACCACAATTATGGACAGTTTTATATGACATATGGTGATATATGCAATTCATTGTGAGTAATCGGCATGTGTATTTAATTCAGTTTTTATTTGATTGACACTCATTATTGGTTATTTTAGACATAATATGGCAAACCCTGATACCTTCCATTCATAATACTTTTTTTAAGATTAAGATGAAGTCCAGGTCTTCAGGATCTCTGGACTATCAGTAGATCTTTTAATACATGGTTCTCATCAGAATCGTCTTTGCAAAGACTGATATGAAAGTTTACTCGGCCTGTCCTATCTATCTGTCCAAACTCAATCATCACACGTGGATTTGCAAAGCATTCGTGACAAGGCCCATGCCTCACCAATGAGACGGAAATTAAATCCTCCTATTGGAACAGATTGAATTTGCGGCGTCTAAAGTACAACGAAATCTGTTTTTTTGTTGCCCTGTTTTAGTCACATCCAATTAAAACCATTAGCTCACTGACGCCTTCATCTGTGTCGCAGAAATTCAAGGAGTACCTGAATGGCAGTAACCTCATCATTAAGCTGCAGGCCAAGCATGACCTGCTGAAACAGACTCTGGGGGAAGGTGAGTTGTCTGTTTATTAAATAAGTTTCTCTCCGCTCTCTGGAAATGCTTAGCGTCAGCTAAGCCGCTGGCATCTAATTCCAACTTTGGTCACTGTTGGATATAAAATTGAAAGTTGCAGTTTCATAGTGAACTCAAAAAGTTTGCATAATGAATGTATCTAAACTAACTGGACAAGATACAGAAGTGAGGACCAAAAGGTTAAGACCATTAGTGAACATTCTTCTGTTTTGTGTCTGCTTGTGTAATTTAAAGCTGGCAGAACTACCATGAACTCCACAAGTTTGTGTAGAGCTGATGGTGAACTTCATTTGTACCAATGTTTTAATATGGTCAAGTGACTTATTTAAGATAAGATTTATTTAAAAATATACTATTTTCTTTATTTTATGTCATTCTTCCATGACAGTCTGGAATTTTTTTAATCAATCATTTGTTATATATATATTATTGTATATTGTATATTATTGTAATTATATGTTATATGTAATATATATATATATAAAATATGTAATACAATGTATATATGTTTCATATATTTTATTGTATATAATTATTTTAATTTATTGAAATTAAAAAAACATCCCAGATTTTCACTGTCATCTATTGTTGGGAAAAAAGCTTTAAACTACCCTTAAGGAATATAGAGGGTAATTTTCAGCCTAATGTTTACAGTATGTTCCACATCTATATTACACAGTGGATTACCGTAGACAATATTTTTGACCTATCCCTCAGTTTGTTAATACAAATGGGGATTAAACATTTAATATATGACCATAACACAATCTTTTACACGTGTTAACGTAATGCAAGTATGATTGCTTACTAACCCTTCTGCGCAAAGTTATCCAATCTTTCAACTGATATCACAACTAGCTAAAACATAAACCCAGTTACTTTTGCATTGTATGACACAGCTAATACTGTGAAAAAAAGTCCCACACTTTAGATTTTGTAGAATTACTAGATAATGCCAAATACTTTCTTCAGGCAAATAATAATGTTGTAGTGAAAGACTTTTTGAAGCAAATGCCTAAAGAAAGTTGTTATCTAATAAAGACTGGCAAGTTATGAAACTGTTTTGGGGTATAAATAATTAATATAAGTGATTTAACAAAAAAAATTATAAATATATGCCATTCTACGTGTATTAGTGTGAACATGCTGCTTACTCCTTGGTTTTACCAACTGAGGGACACAGATGCAGTCCATAGACATAGTTGAAAATTACCTTGAATATTTCTTTAAGTATAAGTCCTTTTGTTGTCAGATGATTATAAAGACCCTGCTTTCATGGCCGCATCTCCCATAATGCCTTTTGTCACTTCGGTTACGAGCAGTTTACGCCCAATCAATCAGCTAGTGGCACCAGCGGGGGTATTTCGGCAGCTGCCTGTGCAGCAGCTCATAATCTAATGACGGCACACTGTGGGATGCCCCAGCTGAGTCCAGCCATCCACGTATATGATCGCTGACCAGTCCTACCCTCTTCCCCTCACCAGACTGTGTGCTCAATTACACTTCACCTCATCGGCTGAGTAAAACCAGACACTCGAGGCTAGCCAAGGTGTGTGCGTTAGTGCATATACATGAGTTTGTCACGTATGGTTGCTGCCGGTACCGCCCATGTTTTTACATTTTTCACCTAATTGATCCTCGATCCATTAAGCCAATTAGCTCGGCACATCTAATTCTCTTCATTATGTTATCAGCGGTTGCCATGGTGCCAGACACCTGGCTTAAATGCTGACGCTTATTTAAATGAGTGATGTAGAAGAATAAACTCTCTTGATTTGCAAATGTTCTGTGTGTAAACCAGATCTTCCCAAACCACTATCCAGAAATGTGATTGGAAAGGATTTGAGACTTTTTTTCAACTCCTCAGCTGGCACGACAAAAGCCTTTCAGTTTTTAGAGGGCATAGCAAAGGCACATGGGAACAACATTTGATATGCAGATTTAGTGAAATGAAATGATTTGAGGGCCCACTTCACATCCCTAAAGTACCCATGTAGAAACATTAGTGGTTCCACCTCATTACATGGTGATTCAGAATTGGAAAAACTTGGTCTGCTTTATGGGCAGGTGCTCTAGAGATGTGTAATTTGGGGACTTATTTGTCATTTTTCCCACTTTTTCAATTACGTTATCTTTTTTTATTGGATTAATTTTATACGCTTTTTAAAAATTTGTGTACTTAAAGCTGCAGTCCGTAACTTTTTTTGTCTTAAAAATTTACAAAATGTATATAATAAGCGAATACACCATGAATCCATTTTCCAAACCGTGTTTTTGGCTTGTCCTGAATCACTACGGTACACCTATGATAAGTGTTTATATTCGGACTATTTAGACTGGTTCAGGTAGGTACCGCTGCGGAGTAGCCCAGTACCTGCGTGATTCGCCATAGACATAAACAGAGAGAAGTAGCTCCGGCTACAATGTTCTTCCGCAAGAAGCACGCAGTTCTGTTTATTAACCGCTAGAGCGCCAAAAGTTACGGACTGCAGCTTTAAAATCACTATTATCGTTAATTTGTTGACATGAATGATTCTCAAATCATGCAGCTTGTAGGGCAGAGGTGTGCTTTTACTTTTTAAAGTAGTCAGATTTTACAAGTTAAAATTGGAAGAATAATCCTATACCAACATTAAAGGAGAAATCTTAGCCTTGTCTTAGGACTACAGTGTCATAGAGAAAGCCACCCAGAGCATCCTAGCAACTGCATAGCAACATGCTAAAACACCTTAGCAACACCCTGGCATCAACACAACTACACTCTAACATTGTGAAGGTGACTTTTGCACAGGGAAGCACTGCTTACATTTTGTTTAGAAAACAAAAAAAAGTTACTTTAGTTTATTTATTTATTGTATTTGTAATTGAAAAAATTGGTAGTTGAAGCATTCTTGCATTATATTGTTTCTTTTTGACCTTCCTGTGTTTTTTGGTTTGTGGGCATGTATATTTTTTCATTGTTTGTATCATGGAGATACCAGGGAACCCTTTTAAATGCACTGGACATTGGGACAAAGAACCTAGTGAGCCGTCACAGACATCGCTCAGTGTCACCAGTGTGAAATGAATCCCTGGATGCACACCCACTCTTACTCACCCTCATACCCACAAATACAAGCACACACACTCACTCACTCATTTAGCCCCCTTTAGTTCCCTTCTGTGGCCGTCTGACATCCCGCAGGGCCCTTTCCGAGGTTTCTACGGTGACCAGTGATCCTCTTTGTCTCAAGCGCTGTGTGGCTGCTCACCCATTCATCTCGTCTTCAATAGTGCTGGCCACTCTCACGATAGCCCTCAGTATGCTCTGACCGAGCTTGAGAACCCAGTGCATGAGATCATGCTAATAATGACATTTCTGACTCCTCCCTCTTTCCACTCTCTTTTTTAGGAGAAAGAGCCGAATGTGGAACTACAAGGTAAGAGAGTTGTGCTGATGATGAGATTTCCATTTTCAAAAACAAAATAAAGGTTCTTAATTGGCATCTGTGGTTCCGTGAAGAACCTTGACCATCCATGGAAACTTTCCATTGCACAAATGCCCTTTATAGTGGAAAAAGGTTCATTAGAGTATTAATATGTTCTTCACACTTGGAAACAAAAGGTTATTTAAAGAACTGTTCACTGTAAGGTTCTTTGGGGAACTTAAAATGTTTCTTTTATGATATACTCTTAAAAAAAGATTCTTTATTGACATCTATGGTTCTTTGAAGAACCTTTAACATCAATGGAACGTTTGCATTGCACAAAAGGTTCTTTATAGTGGAAAACAATTCTTTAGATTATTAAAATGTTCTTCATAAGAAAAAAAAAAAAGGTTATTTTCAGAACTGTTCACTGAAAGGTTTTTTTGGGGAACCCAGAATGGTTCTTCTATGGCATCATTGTGAAAACCCCTTTTGGAAACTTCATTGTAAAGGGGTCATTGGATGCTACATGCATTTTTACAAGTAGTTTGAACTGAAATGTGTGTTGGCAGTGTGTGTACACAACCACCCTAAAATGATAAAAAAACAAGATTTTTCTCAGATGCCTGTCTGTGTGACGTCACAAAAACAGGCCCCTCCCACGATAGTCTAAATGACAATGACGTTTCAGCACAGACTGGACTGGTGTCTTACCCTTAGACCCGCCCTGAGTGAGCTGTCATCAGTCCGCCATTGTTTCACCTCTGGAGCAGATGTACACAAGAATGGCTCCTAAGCGATTGAGGTGTTCTGTTGTTGGATGTAATAATGAATATAGCAGTTGTCATTTACTCCCGACATCTGAGCCGCTGAAGACGCAGTGGATTACGTTTGTTTTTGAAGGGAATGCACCCCCAATCTACCTAAATGCGTCTATGTTCACGCGAATCATTCTTGATCCAGCTTCACCTACAGAAGAAGTGAGTTTAAGGTTTTTTAATTAATCTTTGCAAATCGCCTTTCCAAATAATGTTCTAATTAGCAAGTTTCACGATGAATTAAACAGTCTAAAGTAAATTAAATGAAGACATAAGTAAGAGTCGAATAGTTGGGAAAGGGTTTGGCTATTTAGGTTTTAAGGTCTTTGATATAACATGTCATTCAGAGGGTTTTTTGTGTGTGTTTTTGTTCCATCTAACCATCTCCATTCCTCAGACCCCCAACCCTTCCCCCGAAACCACAGAAATTGCGGAAACCAAGGCCTCGTTCCATCTATAACCATAAGCTGTTTAACGGCAATATGGAGAGTTTCATTAAGGTACCCACTGACTTTGGTGCTAACAGCGCCCCCTGGTGGGCTGGAGGGATGGCTGAAGCTCTGTCTATCTTTTCTCACTGACTCGTGCGCTCACACCCTCTATTTGCTTCTGTTAATTTCCCATCTTTCGCCAGGTGGCGATGATGCAGATGATAAGGGTGGCAGCTGATGCCCTCCTGCCTAAATACAGACTCAGCAGGGCCCAGTAGTTTTTAAGGAACTGCCTTAATGCTTAATTCACACAATTACGTGGTCAATTACCACTTAGATTTAAAGTATTTTGTTTAAAAACATATAAATAGAAGAGAAAATTAGCCGAAGGGTATCACATTCTCCACATGCCTCCCTTTACTGCATCTTAAGCCATTCCAGCAGCCGCCCTAATGCTGTTCCACCCAGTCACCACGACGACACTGTCGTCTCCATGGCGATTCTGTCGTCCCTTCCTCTCTAACTGTGATTTTCTCACCTCTTTCACTCCTCTGCTCTGCTCTACGCTGCTTTGTGTCCTAGGGGAAGACGGAATGCTCGTACCCGCAGTCAGGTACTGTAGAATAGGGCCAGGCATGGACTGTCTTTACCTTTCAGATAAGGTTGTAATACATTTGCTTAGACAAATGACATGTCATTGCTGCTTTCCACAACAGTTTCCACAACAGAGAAATTCTAACGAGCTTTCTGTAGCGACCTTCAGATGAATTGCTATTAGCAGCCTTTGCTATTGTGTTATGCCCTTGAGGACAGACATGCTTAATGCTTTGCTTTATTTTCTACTAAAACAATGAAAAAATACTTTTCATTTTTTAGTTTTATGTACATATTACCTATTTTTAAAGCATTTAGAAAATGTTAACTACTTATTTAAAGGTGCACCAAGCATTTTTTCCGGTTTAAAAAAGATTTGCATCTAATATCTGTGTAGATTCATAACTAAATCATCATTAAATTTGCATCTAATGATACACAAATGTGTTGAAACAATTTGTTTAGTTATACAATAAAATTTAAATAATGTGTACTCACATGAGGTAAAACTCCAGTCATAGCAGTAGCCTAGAAAAAGCTGTTTTAATTATATAAATTCATATTCCATGAGAAAACATGTCATGATAGATTATATTGATAAAGCAGGTCGTTTTTATCTGGTCATGTGATCTCAGCATGGACGCCTAGTGATGCGATCAGCTCCATGTTAAATATAACAGGTTTATTTTATGCTATTTTTAGTGCTTTTTGTTTACTTTTTAATTAGGGAAAAATGAGCAGGTGCACCTTTAAAGGAAATCATTTGTTCACCCTCGTGATGTTCCAAACTTGTATGAAAAATGTTCTTGTTTTTGTCCATACAATGACAGTTGTTTAGGTCCAATTTTATTTGACTTTGATTTGGACAAAACTATCTTCAAAATTTCAAAATATCTCCTTTTTTGTTCCCCGGAAGAAGAAAGTCAGGTTTGGGTCGCATGAGTGTGAGTAAATGATCAAAAAAACTGTCAATTTTTGAACTATGCCTTTAAATCTCAGCCACAGCTTTAAAACTGGTGCCATTTTGTAATGATTGTTGTCTTTCAGGATTCAGGTCAACCCATTCCTCTGGTGGTGGAGAGCTGTATACGATACATTAATCTATATGGTAAGCAGTTCAAGGAAAGGTCGCTAATTGACTGCAGATAAACATGCTGACTCAGGAGCTACTGGAAACCATTAGAGAGCTCTCCAAAAACAACACATCCCCTTATCATTCACAGAGTGCTCAACATTCTCAACCAGAGTGAGACACAGATGCTAATTAGAATAAGGACTCATCTGTTGTAAGTTTTAGTGATCCCGAGATACTTTGGAAATAGTTCCATATAAAGTCCATCTGTCAGGGTGAAGCTGAAGTTAGTGAATTTCGAGAATGACATCAGTTTGGTTGCTAAGTATTCAATGGATTGATGATTTATTATTCTGCTAGAGACTATAAATGTTTATGGATGTCAAGGCAGAAAATAATAATGCTATAAATTCTATTCTCTCTGCTGGCTCAAAGGTTGTTAACAAGGAACCTGATCTACTCTTTCTTTGAGATTATTGCTTTAAGATCACAGGCATTCCCTCAGGATCCAATGAAATCTCAGAAAATGATTGGAACTTCTTTAGCAACTCATATGTACCAAAAAAAAATTAAGGAACCCTTTAGAGGGAAATGTTGTATTTCCTCATGTGCGCATCTTGTTTTGAGCTGGAAATAATGCAATATCATGCCTTGACAAGTTTTCGACTCATGTTTCTTTTCATTTTCCAGGGCTGCAACAACAAGGCATATTCCGAGTTCCTGGATCTCAGGTGGAAGTCAACGATATTAAAAATTCATTTGAAAGAGGTTAGTCCCCTAGAGATGAACTGTAATTATTTTTCAGTTATTTTTGTTTATGTACTTTCCAAACTGTAAATATGTTTCTTCCGCACATCAGATCATCATTGCCGAGCAGAGGGTGTAAATAACATCAGAAAATTAAATTTGGTAACAGGATTTCGATTTACAAAAGCTTTCCTGTGAAACAAATTGATTCTCCATTTAGCTCATGTTTGCAGATACAAACAATCATCTGCCTGGTTTTGATATTGACAAATGATGTATTAAATTATATAAGCCATTTCTAAGGCTATTCCGTCGTCAAAATCCTTCGATTTGCACTGAAACGTTTACTACCTAGAAATTCCCAGAAAATAAAAAAAGAATAAGAGCTTAATAATGATAACAGAAAAGAGTATAGTAAATTGAAATAGTAAATTCTGAAAATAATAATACAGAGATTGGACATTCAGAATAACTGGTCAGATAATCTTTTACTGGAATTGTCGTCATGTCTTTTGAAGTTTCTCAGTTCATCAGATATGGAGGATGAGTGCAAATTTCAGCTACAAGAGAGATGCAAGATAAACAAAACAAATGATACCGTAAGGATATCAGTCATTAGGTGTTACACAGCAGTGTTGTTGATAAATAGCTACGTTTTAATGTGCAACCTTGTTATTGTGTCACAGGTAATTGAATCATCAGCAAAAAAAATTTAATATACTAAGGTGCCTGCTAGTGCCTGAATTTGGATTCTTGTAAAGCTTAGGGAACTAAGGAGCAGAAAGAGACAAATCCCTATTTTGTAGACCCTTAACTTAATTGTGTTATTACTTACTTTACGTTATTACTTATTATTATATATTAGGAATGTGTGTGTGTGTGTGTGTGTGTGTATGTGTGTCTATTTTTCTCCTATAATCCCTATTTTTTCCACCATTTATTTCAGGTGAGGACCCACTGGTTGATGATCAGAGCGATCGTGACATCAACTCTGTGGCTGGTGTTCTCAAGCTGTATTTCAGAGGGCTGGAGAACCCTCTGTTCCCCAAGGAGCGCTTCCTGGATTTGATCTCCACCATCAGTGAGTGTTTCATTCAGCTGCAGGATAGGTCGAAATGTCACTGGAGTGATTAAACCTGGTATTACTCCATGGATTGCTGGTATTTGTTGTATGTTTCTACTGGTGCTTGGCTTCGTCTTTGCAATTTGACAAAGCAGTTTGTCAGTTTCTTATATTTTGCTTTTGGAAACAAAAAATGTCTGGCAAGAGAATGTAAAAAGTAAAACATAAGTAAACATACAAAAGATTGTTTTGGGATTGAGGCTAATAGTTGACTGCCATTCACAAGTTTGGGGTCAGTAAAATTTATATTTTTCTTTAGATTCCTGAAGGATTATGCAACACTGAAGACTGAATTGTTGTAAAAATATTTCACAGTATTACTGTTTTACTGTATTTTTGATCAAATAAATGCAGCCTTGGTGAGACTTCTTTCAAAAACATGAATCAGTCTTACCAACCCCAGATTTTGAACAGTTGTATATATTTTAAATGTGGAGCTTTTGGTTTATTTGTTTGAATGCTTGTTTGTCGATTTCTTGTTTCAGAGCTTGAATCATCTGCGGAAAGAGCCCACCACATCCAGCAGATCATCATCACCCTTCCTCGTACCATCATCATCGTCATGAGATACCTGTTTGCTTTTCTAAATCAGTAAGTTTTATATTTCACAAACTTTTTTTGTGCCATACTTTAAAGAAGTTGACCTGCAGTTACACGCGCGCATGCTCAAAAGTGGGAGGCTAATCTGTAATTTTACCACACTGCCTTCACAGCATCTCTGTTTTTAGACTGTAAATCTCCTAGTAAATCACCATTTATATGAATAGCAGCAGTCACAAGCAAAGACATTCCTTATATTTACAAAGAGCTATTCAGCAGCACCTACCATTATTGTCTAATTTATGACCATGTCTGTCAAGTCAAGTGCTTTAGAGGATATTTACACCAGAAGAAACCGATCAGTCTGTACTGTACTATACCTGTCCTCTTCTCCTTGGTTTTTATTGATGCTTCCTGTTCTCACCCTCCCCCAGGCTGAACAAAGAATTTGATTTCACTTCATGAGTTTTCCCTCTGACTTCTTCCCCCCCCCCCTTTCA